AGGGGTGCTGCGAAGGATGTTGAGCCCAGAAACAAGCAAACCGCCTGAGACATCCCCACAAAATGGCCGCGAACGAGCCCGTGCAACCATTCCTGGCGGCTCCCTTTAGGGGGGCTGAAACCAGCGCCCCGCCTGAGACATCCTCACAATCGGCTCTCCAAGCGAAGGATGTTGAGCCCGGAAACAGGCAAACCGCCGGAGACATCCCCACAAAATGGCCGCGAACGAGCCCGTGCAACCACCCCTGGCGGCTCCCCTTAGGGGTGCTGAGACCAGCGCCCCGCCTGAGACATCCTCACACTCAGCTCTCCAAGCGAAGGATGTTGGGCCCAGAAACAAGCAAACCGCTTAAGACATCCCCACAAACTGACCGCGAACGAGCCCGTGCAACCACCCCTGGCGGCTCCCCTTAGGGGTGCTGAGACCAGCGCCCCGCCTGAGACATCCTCACAATCTGCTCTCCAAGCGAAGGATGTTGAGCCCAGAAACAAGCAAACCGCCTGAGACATCCCCACAAAATGGCCGCGAACGAGCCCGTGCAAACACCCCTGGCGGCTCCCCTTAGGGGTGCTGAAACCAGCGCCCCGCCTGAGACATCCTCACAATCTGCTCTCCAAGCGAAGGATGTTGAGCCCAGAAACAAGCAAACCGCAGACATCCCCACAAGATGGCCGCGAACGAGCCCGTGCAAACATCCCTGGCGGCCCCCTGAGGGGTGCTGAAACCAGCGCCCCGCCTGAGACATCTCACAATCTGCTCTCCGAGCGAAGGATGTTGACAGAAACAAGCAAACCGCCTGAGACATCCCCGCAAAATGGCCGCGAACGAGCCCGTGCAACACCCCTGGCGGCTCCCCTTAGGGGTGCTGAAACCAGCGCCCCGCCTGAGACATCCTCACAATCTGCTCTCCAAGCGAAGGATGTTGAGCCCAGAAACAAGCAAACCGCCTGAGACATCCCCACAAAATGGCCGCGAACGAGCCCGTGCAAACACCCCTGGCGGCTCCCCTTAGGGGTGCTGAAACCAGCGCCCCGCCTGAGACATCCTCACAATCTGCTCTCCAAGCGAAGGATGTTGAGCCCAGAAACAAGCAAACCGCCTGAGACATCCCCACAAAATGGCCGCGAACGAGCCCGTGCAACCACCCCTGGCGGCTCCCCTTAGGGGTGCTGAAACCAGCGCCCCGCCTGAGACATCCTCACAATCTGCTCTCCAAGCGAAGGATGTTGAGCCCAGAAACAAGCAAACCGCCTGAGACATCCCCACAAAATGGCCGCGAACGAGCCCGTGCAAACACCCCTGGCGGCTCCCCTTAGGGGTGCTGAAACCAGCGCCCCGCCTGAGACATCCTCACAATCTGCTCTCCAAGCGAAGGATGTTGAGCCCAGAAACAAGCAAACCGCCTGAGACATCCCCACAAACTGACCGCGAACGAGCCCGTGCAAACACCCCTGGCGGCTCCCCTTAGGGGTGCTGAAACCAGCGCCCCGCTTGAGACATCCTCCAAATCTGATGTGTGTTGAATAAGTCTGAGTATGAGTAGGTCTGAGTATGAGTATGCCTGAGTATGAGTAAGTCTGTGTATGAGTAAGTCTGTGTATGAGGAAGTCTGGGTATGAGTAGGTCTGTGTATGAGAAAGTCTGTGTATGTGTGCGTCTGGGTATGAGTAAGTCTGAGTATGAGTAATACTGTATATGAGTAAGTCTGGGTATGAGTAAGTCTGTGTATGAGTACGTCTGGGTGTGAGTAAGTCTGTGTATGAGTAAGTCTGTGTATGAGTATGTCTGAGTGTGAGTAAGTCTGAGTATGAGTAGGTCTGAGTATGAGTACGCTGAGTATGAGTAAGTCTGAGTATGAGTAGGTCTGAGTATGAGGAAAGAGGAGGAGGGGAGGAGGAAAGAGGAGGAGGTAGAGGGAGTAGGAGGCGTCCAAGTAATAACAAGAACCCCATCTTAGGATACGGGGAAAAACCTGAGATAAATCAATGATTTTGGCTTGTTCGGGCCCTCCTGGAGGACCTCTTGGAGGCCTCCTGGGCCGTCTGGCAGGCCTCTGTGGGGCTTCTTGGGCCGTCTGGGGCCCCCTTGGAGATTATTGGGCCGTCTTGGAGGCCGCCTTGGGCCATCTTGGGCGTGTTGGAGGCGATCTTGGACCATCTTGGAGTCCATCTTGGGCCATCTTGGAGGCAGTCTTGGAGCCGTCTGGGGCAGAAAATTGGGGGCCGGAAAAATCCCGGGACCCCGGCGGGACGGGCCGAAACTCACTGGGAGAATTCTTTTCGGAAAAGAACCAACACCAAACAATGCCCAAAAACGGCCGTTTCGCTCGGGACATCCTCAAAAAATCGCGAAGATGGCCCAAGATGGCCTCCAAGTCCGCCCGAGATGGTCCAAGACGGCCTCCAAAACGGCCCAAGAGAGTCCAAGACGGCCCAAGACGGCCCAAGAGGCCCCCCAGAGGCCTCCCAGACGGCCCAAGAGGCCTCCAAGAGGTCCTCCAGGAGAGTCCGAAAAGGCCAAAATCATTGATTTTCCATTGGTTTTTGAAGGATTTTGGCAAGTGGCCTCCAAGATGGCCCCTAGAGGGCCCCAAGAGGGCCCAAGAGGCCTCCAACACGCCCAAGATGGCCTCCCAGACGCCCAAGATGGCCTCCAAGACGGCCCTGGAGCATTCCAAGCGGGCCCCAAGTCGGCCCATAGAGGCCCCCCAAACGGCTTCCGACGGCTTCAGACGTGCCAGGAACCCACCAAGATGGCCGAAGTTGGCTCGAAGCTGGCCCGAGACGGCCCAAAAAGCCCCAAAGATCGCCCAAAGCTTGCCCAAGAGGCCTCCAAAACGGCCAAGATGACCTTCAAGATGCCCACGTGTTCCCCGAAGGCTTTCCAAACCGATTCGGGGAACACGTGGTCCGATAGCTTGGCAGGTCTGGTCTCAACGTTCGGCCACATAGGCGCTTCCAAAAAGGCAGGGGGCGGCGGTGATTCGCCGTAGGCGTCTTCGATTCTTTTCGGAAAAGAACCAACACCAAAACCGATGGGATCTGGCGCGCCGGGCACCCCTTTGCTAAAGCGACAGGGGGCGGCGGATGACGGAAAGCGCGCGTTAGCGTGCGGTCCGTTAGTCGGAAGAAATTTGACTTGGGAGAGATCGAGGGGGGTGGCATCGCCAGGCCCGGATCTAATGGCCCTCCCGCCTCGTTTTGTATAGAGTAGGGCGGCCTTCGGGGCTTAGAAACAACGTTTCGCTCGAGACATCATCGGAAAACGCATATTGGGCGTTTTTTGGGGGCCGTCTTAAGCGCTTAAGACAGCCCGAGAAGCGGCCAAAACGGCGCCCAAGACGGCCCAAGACGACCCAAGAAGCGCCCAAGACGGCCCAAGAGCGCTCCAAGAGAGCCCAAGACCGCCCAAGGCGGCCCCAAGACGTCCCAACTGGCCTCCACGACGCCCCAGGAGGCGCCCACGAGGCGTCCCAAGAGGGCCCCACGAAGCCAAAATCATTGATTTGCTGAAGGAAAACGTGCATTTGTAGCATATACGGCATTTCGCCTTTCATGGCGTTGAAGACGGTCCAAGAGGCCCCCAAGACCGCCCCAAAACGGCCCAAAATGCTCCCAAGAGGCCCCCAAAATAGCCCAAGAGGGCGCCAAGACGGGCCAGGAGGCGTCCAAGACTGTCCAAGAGGCCCCCAAGAGCGCCCCAAGAAGGCCCAAGAGGCCCCCAAAAAGGCTCCAAAACGGCCCAAGAGGGCGCCAAGACGGCCCAGGAGGCGCCAAGACGGCCCAAGACGGCCCCCAGTGAGCCCAAAGATGGCCAAAGGCAGCCTAGCCCCTTCACCCCCGCAGCCCAGAAGCTCCCAGGAGGCCCCGAGAGGCCCACGAAAAGCCCCAACAGGTCCCAAGAGACACCCAAGATGCTCCCCAATAGCCCCCAAGAGGCCCAACATACTCCCAAAAGCTCATAGCACCGCGGCTCCCAAGAGCGAGCGGTGACGCAATCGAGCTGATAAGACCAAAGCTCCCAACCGAGAGCTGCGACGTAATAAGTTCTTGACGCCAGGGCACGGGGACGGGCGGCAACGCGCGGAGAACGAGCGGTCCACGCAAGGAAAACGCGGGCTTCTGGAAAGCTGGCAGCCCAAACGCGGGAAACGCAACGCGACCCGACCGCCCCCTCCAAAACAAGAAACGCGCTCAAAGAAAGCTCCGCGACTCTCCGAGGCTGAGATGGGACAAGAGCGAGGGGAAGGGGGTCAACAAGAAGTGTAAGAGCGGACAAGCCAGCGATCTCGTGCGCTCTGAAAGTAAGTGCGCTTGCCGCCCCCGTGCCAAGCAGGTCTAATGGCCTTCGGCCCATCCTGCCACTGCGCCCGAGTTGAAATTCAGAGGGTTCCGGAGCGTTCGTCGGGATCTAATGGTTGGTCTCGCGTGGGCCTCGTGGAAACAGTTTTGAAGCCTGTGCGGTTGTTTTGGGGCTTCTTGGCGCTTCTTTGGGGTCCTCTGAAGTATCTTCCGGGGGCTCTTTTGGGAGCCTCCTGGGGTATCTGGGGAGCTTTTTGACGGCCTCTCAGAGTTTCCTGGCAGCTTCAGAGAGCCGAGAGCTCGAAATGTCCGTCCGGGCCCCCCGACTTTTGCGACGCCTCTTGGGCCGTCTGCGACGCCTGCAGGGCCGCCCCGGGGGCCTCTGGGCCGTCTCTTGGGCGCCTCATGGGCCGAGGTGGAGCCATGCCTCTGGGCCCGTCTCGAGGATTTCTGGCGCTCGAAAAATAAGCTGAGAACGCGCGATAATCCCCGAGAGGGGGAAGGGCGCGGGACCAGGGACCGCGTCCACTCCGGGGATTGGGCAAGGGGCCAGGGGCCGCGCCCACTCCGTGCCTCGCGGCGCGGTGGCGGACATCGATAGACTTGCGGCTGAAGCGCGCGCTGCGGTCGGCCCCAGAGTCGGACGAGCACGGGGAGGCGCTGAGGGTAGCTCAACGCGTGCTCACAGGTTTGCAGGAGATGGGTTTCGGCGTCCTAGGCACGATGGAAGGCGGGAGTTGGACCCTCAGAAAGTATGACCTTTCGAGTCTCAGCGCCAGTCAGTGGATGTTTCTGAGGGACTATAGGATACCAGCCTGGCTCTTTGGGGGGCCGACGCGCGGCCACTCCGCAGACTGTCGCGAAGCGCCCCGCAAGGACGGCGCGGCCGAGACGGCGGCGGATGCGAGAGAGCAGAAGGACAGCAAGCCTGCTTCGAAAATAGGGGGGGCGTCGTTAGGGGCGGGCAAGGGCGCCGCGGCAGCGCCAGAGGCGCCGCGCCGAAGCAGCGTGGCCAAACTGATTCCGGGAGAGGCGGGTGCCCCCGCGCTGCCGCCGCCGCCCGTGTCGAGCGAGCCGCCCGTTCTGAAGATGGTAGAAGGGCCCCCTCGCGCCCTACTGCCGCGTGACCGCCCCGCCGCGACGAAGGAGGCCCGCGACCGCGCGCGGGGAGCGACGCAGGTGCTAGGGGCGACTGCCGAAGTGAAGGATGCGAAGCCCATTGGTGCGTCGAGGTGCTTCAGGGTGAAGGCCACTTGCAGAGGTACTCGGGATGTTGCTTGCCCAGTTATGTGGAATGTCGAACGCTTCGCGCACGCCGCCAACACATGTGAGTTCATCTTAAGTGGAAGGACCCCAGTTGGACAAGGACAGCCGCGCGCGCTGGGGGCTGAGAGCAATCCCAAAACCCAGCCCCGAAGTAGAGTCAGAGCGTGTCCGATTTCTGGAGCCAGACAGGAATCCGCATGGAGCTTGGGGGCGCGCTAAGCGACCGGCGTGGCCAGGTGGGACCGATCGAATCGCTCGCAGGCCCCGCGCCGTTCGCGTCGGGGAAGGGGGAGGTGGCGCAGGAGTTCCTGCGTTTTCAAAACGGTGACAAGATGAGTTGCGCCCGACCGTTCGCGCCCCGGCAGGGGCGGCGGACTACGCGTACGACAAGTTTCCGGAAGCGGGCCTAGACGCCCACGCCGAGCTGCGCGTGCACGTCCATGAACACAGCCACAGTGCGGATGCAGACGCGAACTCTGGCAATATATGGGGCCCAGACGTCGAGGTGGCAGCGCAGAGATGGATGGGGAGGTAGCGAAACCGTCGCGTCAGGGTCTGCAAACGTATTCGGCCAGTCAGAAGTTCCAAAACCTTCCGCACCTCGACAGGATTGGAGGCTGGCTGAAAAGATTCCAGCTGAAACTATGGCAGAGAAAACGAAGGGTGGAGAGGACGTGGATAAAGCAGCCGGCGCTGGCATGTTGAATTCCGTAGACGCGAAGACTTTGGAAGCCCCAAAAAGATAGCACCGACCACTTTGCATATTCGAATACCACCAGTTCCAACCATGTCGGGGCGACTGTGCATCTGTTTTAGTTGCGACAAGATGGCGGAGGTGCTGGCGCGGCATGGCGACTTCGAGCTGCACCTGGGCGTGGACGCGAAGCAAGGGGCAATGTCGGGGAAGGCGGGCGCGGCCACGATCAGCTTGCAGGCAAAAGACAAGCTCCGCGGCACCACTTTCTCAAAGGGAGACGGCGCGGTCCAAGGGCGAGTGCAGGGCAGGGCGTGCACGACGCACGGAGCGCCGCTCCTGCAGGCTATCTTTAACACAGAAGAGGCTTAGAGCTTCATCGGACTATTTCCTTGCATGGGGATCGTGCACGACAGCGCCATCCGTGACCGGTCCTTGCGACATCGCGTCGTCGCAGTGCACAGTGATTGCGCGCCTGGCATTGAGGCTGCCAGGAAAGTTGTGTTCCCGAAGTCTCAAACTGCGAAAGACCAGTTTCATTTCGCCCAACACACTGGCTTGAAGACGACAGCGAGCGGAACTCTCGCGAAGAAGATGAAGCATCGCAGGCCTGCTGGCCAGACGGGCCACTACGAGCTCACCAACCTGGGTTGGACTGTGGCAGCCCTCAACGCATTGCGGCGGATCCCAACGCTGGACTGCGCTCCCATGCTGCATGAGGGCTCTGGACCCGAACAGTCGCGGCCCGCAGAAGTATACCATTCGCGCGACAACGCGGGAAATGAGAAAGGACTACACAGAGGGCGGGTCCACGACAATGTTGTTCTGCCCGAGCTGGTCGGGCATGGCTGCGCTGACGGCCGGCTACGAGGGGAGCTCTGTGGAGCCTATGCGTTCACCTTGGGAGAAAGCTCGGAAGGACGCAGCCTCATGAAACCAATCCTCATCTCCGCTGGAACGGCCTTGGCCCGCTGCCCGATCTCCCTGCTCAGACGGGGATAGACGCTTGTCTGTCGAGTTGAGCGGTAACCATCCTGTCTGCCGAAGCGGGGGCACACGCTACACGCTCTCTCCGTCGGGGCGAGCGGCGTCCATCCCCACCCGGAGGGGGCGCGGCTGGGGGCCCAAAGGAAACATCCCCTCTAGGGATGGGGGTCGGTCTGACGATGCTGAAGGCGGTTGCAGCACTGGCCGCAAAGTACTCGCCCCCAGGATCCTACAGCAAATGCCATACCTGCACGACAATTATTCCGGGAAGTGGCATTCGTGGGACGAGGGCCCCGACGACAAAATGCAGCTGTACCCGCCCGCGTCAAACCCCGCACATTAGAATGGGGCATCTCTGATCGCTGCCGGCAGATCATGCTCAGGCATTGTGGGAAGCGTCGCAGACGAAGACAGTGCACGCCGTGGTTCTGGAGGGATCAGGAAAAGCGCCCACGCACTTCGACGTCGACGTGATGCAAGTTGTCGCGGTGGCCATGAACGTGAAGAAGATGCTCGTGGTGGAAGATGCCGCGCATGGGGCAGGTGCATTGTTCTCCTCTGGTCTTGACTTACAGCATCGCCTCGAGGCGGCGGGCGTCCTAACAAAATGCAGTCGGCCATCGAACAGGAAGCAAAAATATCTCGGCACGCAGGTGGGCCGCGTGAGCGCCGTGTTCAAGGACATTGCTTACGTCATACTTTCTTCGGATACCAGCATTTTCCGCGCCTGCGCGCGCGGCGCTGCGTGCACGTGCAAATGGTTATGTCACCACGCTGGGTGCGAGCACGCGGAGTGTGTATCGATGCTCGCGCTGCGCTTACAGAAGCAGCCAGGGTACCCGAACCCTCAGGAGCTGCCAGGGACGCGACCGAGGGGCCAGAAGCGCGGCTCGGTTTTGGTTGTGCCCAGCAGACCACAGGCAAGGAACGCAAAGTGGAGTGATGCGAATAAAAAAATGGCGCAGGGTGCCGCCTGGCAAAGCCAGAGCGATGCGCAGTGTCAGCCACGCGCTTGCCGCGCATTTGTTTTGCCGCAGGATGCAGGAAAAATGCTCGCGTCAAGCAACGTCGTTGAGGATGCAGAACCCAACCGCCAGAGTTCCCGTTCGCCAGTCCCTCGTCGCCGATTCCCGTTCGCCGGAGCCCCTGTTCGCCGGAGTCTTCGTTCGCTAGGTTCCCGTCCACTGGAATCCTTGTTTGTGGGGAATCCTGGAATCCTCGCTCACCAGTTCCCCGTTCGCCGGCCCCCCTTCGCCGGTTCTCGTTCGCAGGGGGGTCAAGGGCCAAGGGCGTGTGTCAGGATTTCGGTTTTCGACCTGGAGGTACTCGGCATGAGCTCTGGTCTCCCGGGTCTGAACCACGGGGGGGGTGCTCCTGGGTCCTTTGGCAGTTGTCGTGCGTTTTGGACCCCGAGGGTTCGCGGCCGTCGGGCGAGAGCCCGGCCTCCATGAGCGCGCGCGGACGGGGGCAAATGGAAGAGGATGCGACGGACGCTTGACGGCGTCATCCTGTTGCCCAATGCAAGCAATATGATGCGCACATGTCATCCTCCGTAGCATCGGGCTCAAGCCAGGCGGTGCGCCGCGCACCTGGACGGAGCCGATGCCCGGGCGCATTGCCCTACCATTTTACGAATGCGAACCGAGGTTTCTGGCGCGGCAGGAAATATTCGAACGGGCGGGGCTCGACCGTCTGAAGCTGTTGCACCGGCTGGGAGCCTCGCCGCCCACGCTAACAAATCTTAGTATCCTGGAATACGATGCTGACCCTGAAGGGGCACTTGTGGGGCACTTTGTGTTACGCCTTGCGCTCAGCACAGTGGGTCCCCCTGAGCCAATGGCTAGTGACGCGCGAGGTGGTTTATTCTGCAGCAGCGATGGGCCAAGTTGGCTCGAGTGGAGCACGATCGAGCCTTGACTTTGCTGGGTGCCACCCTCGGCGAGGAGCGCCCGGCACTGTCCAAGTACCAGCTGCCGTTCACACATGTGCCACCGCGCTGGGTGGCGGAGCGCCGCGTGGTGCTCAAGCGCGGCGTGGCTCGCGTGGCGGGCTGCGACACATGCGCCCTGGTGTCGCACCTGTTCGAAGCGCGCCTGCGCGATTCTATGCAGGACGCCGCGCGGGCGATGCAGGGCCCAGAGCAGCGCCCCCCGCTGGAACTTGCGATGCCGCTGCTGGAGAGGTTACGGCGCCATGCTGAAGGTCTTCTGGCGCCGCCCCCTGCGACCTCGCCCAGATTGTGGAACCGGCCTATTGTGGGCGACGATGTTGGCCTAGCTCTGGATAGCTCTGAGGAAATGAGGACGTCGTTCCCCCCACGCATGCAGCGCTTGATCCTCCACCAGCGCACGAGGCGGCGGTTGCGATTCCAGGGCCTGCTGCAAATGCGGCCCTTCTTGCGGAAGGCGGGGCTGGACCTCCCTAGCGCGCCGCGGTGGTTCGAGACGGAGCTGCGTCGCGACGGGCATGTCACCGAGAAAGTCTTCGAGAGGGAGCACAAGTCCCAAGTAGAGCACGCCTACGGCGCCCGCGGCCACGGGCGCGGCGCGCATCCGTTCGGGCGCGCCAGCACCCAGAGGTTCCCGCCCCCTGAATCCGGCCAAGTCCATGGCTGCCAGTTTCAGCGCGGGCACGAGAGCCCGTATAACTTGGCCACATTGCTCGGGCACTGGGGCTTGGCGCAAGAGGGGGTCGACGCCGTAGTCCGCGCGGCGCGAGAAGGGCGTCCTTCTCGCGCTTGCAAGTTTTTTTTTTCGGCGCGGCGCACCCGTGGACGAGCTGGGGCCGACGTGGGGCCGTCGGTCATCCAAACGATAACCTTCGGCGCAGCAGGATGGCGCGGGCCGCGCGCTGGGGTCGCCCCCCCTCTGGCGCTGCCGCGCCGTGACCAACGCGCGATGCCGGCTTTGTAAAGCTTGCTGGGGCAAATCACCGCGAACCGCCAGGCCCGCCCTGTCCAGCCCGCCTTGCTCGCGAGTGGGGCGCCCTATGACAGCGCTATGATTCTCGCGCGAAAGAAGCATCCGCCCAGCTGTTGCGCTCATCGTTTGCAGCCCCTATGCGGGGCCAGGAGCGAACCGACGCTTCCCTGGTGCCGTTCCTCCGCCCTGTCCTGCCCCACATATTCTGCCTGCTCTATCTTTTCATTGCTATCCTTCTTGTTATCCTCCCCCTCCTCCGTGGGGGCGAGGAAAGCCCCCCATGAGACCCGCAGAGCCTCGGCCCTTCAGGTCCGAAGTGTGAACCTCGGCATGAGCCTCAACATGAGCTCTGGTTCCTCTCTGGGGATCGGGCGCGCGACTCATCCGGGCCCCCTAGAGCATCTGTGGAGCCATTTTGGAGCATCTTCGACTATCGAGAACCATATTCGACGTCATCTTCTGCTCTCTGTGGCTCTCTTGGAGTCGTCTTGGGCGAACAGGGGCAGTCTGACACCTCGCGGGGCGCCCCGCCCAGGTCCAGGGGGGGGGGGGCAGGGGGGGGGGCAAACCCCTCCCCGAAGCGGAAGAAGGGGGGTGGAAGAGGAAACTCTCAAGGACCACCCACGCGCTACAGGGTCAGCGGGGTGGACACGGCAGGTTTCGCGTCTAGTCGACATGGGGCGCGGTGGACTGCCCACTCCCCCCGCCCCCCTTCTCCAAGGCAAGGCAACGATAGCGCTGGCGGAGCCGTTCAAGATTGATCACTCCCCTGGGGAGCCGTTCAAGGTTGAACATCCCCCCCCAGGGGAGTGGGCGAGGGGGCGAAAGGGGGCGCATGTCGGCCCCCGGGGCGCGCGAGAATGAACCCACGGCGCGAAATCACGGTCGAGGATGGCTCCAAAC